AAGTGGCACATGGTGAGCAGGACCTTAATAACACCACTGAATAACGCTACAGTCTGCATGCTTGGTCTTAACTAGCTGCCATGTCTGATTTACTCTGCTAATGTTGCTTTATAAAATAATAACGATTTATCTATATGTTGGCTGTTAATCACCAAGAATATTCAATCTCTAAATTATTTCGCTTTGATATGCCTCTTTCATTCACAGAACCACTGAGAGTACAGAGTGCTAAAATAATTATATTAATGGTAAATTCATACGATTGTTGCAGCATTCATTACCAGTTCTGATAATCTCTCTTACTGAAGTAGGAAAGTAACAATTTGATGCAAGGCTACAGCAGAGAGCCCGGGTGATAGTGAAAACCACCAACTGATAAATGCAGTCAAATCTGAGGTTTAAGATTTTATCAATCCAGCTACTGCAAAGACACAAAGTTGAGATTGCTTAAAAACAACAAAGGCTAAATGAAAAGCATCCTTTTTTTAATGTTACTATCATTTAAAACAGCATAGGGCAACTTTACTTCAAAGGAGACATAAAACCAGGAAATAAGAGTTATCAAAATCATATTAAATACAAACACAAGCATACAAAATACCAGCTGGATGCAAAAACAAAAAACCAGCTAAAACATTACAGTATATTGCACCAGTAGAAAGGGCAAAAAACCCCAAAACACAATAAGCAACGTGTGATAACTGGACTCCCCTATAGCTGATTAACATGATGAAGCACAACATAGCAGCATCGCTGTTTGTTAATGCTACACACACCATCAAATGCATGACGACAATAGCGGGGGCGTAGGAGTCAAAATTGCAGCTCCATTATGCTATGTAACCACTGGACCAGTGTCTCTTTGGGCATATGGCTTGTGATGGTGGTAATTAGGGCACAGCAGATGCTTGAACCTTCATTTAAGGGCATTGTGGAGCTGGGAATTAGGGAACAAACTGTGGGGGTGGGGGGGTTAATACTTCACAAATTAAACTTACTAATGACGTGTTCTTTATCAGCATGGACTCCAGTTCAGAGTGGAAAATTACCTTTTTACTTTACCCCCCCAGTCAGTGTGACCAACATAACTGGGTTTGCCAGCATGCTTTGAAAGGCATGTGAGCCCGACAAACTGTACAGCTATACTAATAATAATTTTAAAAAAAAAAAACAACAACTAGGCACCAGACTGGGGGCTGGTGTTACCTTCCCACTCTGCCGCCTTCCATACTGTTTATATAATATTTACTTGTGTGTATGTGCTTGTGTGCGTGTCTGTTTACAGCTCTGAAAAAGGGGCTTGGCTATATATTTACAATGGCGCCCACATATGCCACAGAATCCACCTGGCAAACACTTGGGACAGTCTCATTTGCACGAGCAAACACAAAAGACACTCCAAGTTTTGTTTGTAGCAGCTTGATGCTTTCGGAAGCATTGTTCACAGTACAATCCGACGGCCCACGATCCTCTTACCAACCCACCACCTCACACACATCCTCTGAAATGAGCACTCGAATGATAATAGCAAGCTAGGATTGATTCAGAACAGGTGGTTTAGTGTTCAACATAATTCCCCATGATCACTTTTGATCAAAACACACATGGAGCAGAGAGGTAAGCGAAGGAAAGTGATGATTCACAGTAAATGGAGATTGTAGTGTGTGCGGCGGCCTTTAGGAGGCCAATCCCAAAAAGAAGCCGCCGACAAACCCGCTGGACAGGACGATGTTCCTCTTTATGAAATCTGTCGCCTGCAGAGGAGAGACGAGGGAAAAGTCAAATCAGAACTAACAAACAAAACAGACCCCAGCACCTCGAAACATTTGATTTGGTTTGCCTTGAGCCTGCAGTGTCACAGCTACTAGGTGTAGTAGCTCGACGAGTACACTAGAGGGCACTGCTGGCTTGGGAATGGACCCCAATACATGCCCCCCCCCAATATTGAAATAATACAAATTAAAGGAAGATTGCATTTAGCTTGAGCAGAAAAACAAGCAAGAAATAAAGAAAGAGCAAGCTTTGTTCCAGGTACCTTTACCTCCTCAATGAATGTGTTGATTTCTGGGGCTGCTTTGTTTGCCTTCTTCTTCAGATGCTTCTTTGCTTTGTTCACATCCTTCTCCACCTTCTTCCAGTCCACCTGCACGTAGCCACTGTGATTGGCAATCTGCAGAAACAGACAACAAAACAAAACTGATGAGCGTTACTTTGTCCTTCTTCATATTTGCCTCAGCTCTGCACTCTGAAGGACAGAATCCCTTTCTGGAAGCATGTGTCCACAGTAGGCCTCTGATATCATCTTAAAAAAATTATTTTGTGTTCAGCCTGATAATCAAGTCATCTGGGTGTCTAACTTTACGGGTGTTTAATCTACTTGCAAAATGAAGAATGCTTTTAAGCGACAAAATAATGCTACTGACGGAGCTGAAGCACCCTGTAAGTGTCCAGATGGCCTGTGTCCATTTAGTGCCAGCTGACACACAATGCTCGCCTTTCTGTGGTGGAGAGGGGGGACCAGCTGAGTGTCATGTCGTACAGCTGGCGTCTTCACTTGTCAATGGAGTTATGTTAATCTTACAAAGCACGTACTTCTCTATGACTCTTGATGGAGAATTGCTAAATATTTAACGACTAAGCCTAAACAATCACAGCATTACGGTGCTCTTACCTGTAAAAGAAGGAACCCGCCACCAATAGCAGTAGCTGCTATCTTCCCAACTCTCTGGAAGACATAACCTGCACACCTGTAAGTGTTAAGAGAAAGGGTGGGTTACTTCCTTTAAAATATTTAAAGGGGAATCAATTATGTCAGTTTTCCCTGGGCCTGATTCATACTTGAAAACAGTCATTATGTGTCTTTTCCTCATAGTAGCCATCCCTCAATACTTTCTCCATTTGAAGGAATGCATTATCAGGGACTGCAACATCTAGTCCTTTTACTGAATCATTACTAAGGCTTTGCAGTTCATCTATTGCCTCGCCATTTATTTCAGACTGGGGCCAGCTCTTGGGAGCACATTGGCTTGTGGCTCCCACCACTCTTGAGTGTGAAAAAAGGGATACTGGACTTCTTAAGGCTTGTTATAATGTTTCACCACTCATCAAGTTCGAAAAACAAACTGTGGAGAGTCCCGGGTGTTTATGGTGCGTTCCAGGAATCTGAATTCAAGATAGTGCATCCCAGCGTGGGGGGGGGGACAAAACAGATACACGATTACACAACGGGGCAGCACAGATTAAAAGTTTTATTACTCTTCAGTTCGGTGCTTCCATCTTGGATTGTTAACTCGGGTTTGGTGCGGCTGCTCTGAGTTCAGGGGGCATCCCAGGTGAAAATGCCAACTAGGAACTTGGAAATCCCAACTTCCGGCTTAATCTGGAACGCTCCATTAACCCCCAGTGGGGGTTTGTCCCCTTTGGAGGTGGACCTTTAGGTCGTTGCCCCACTATCGATCACACGAGTTATCAATTGTGGATCAACGACATCCGACTCCAGCCAAAGTGTAAAGAAAAAAAGGCACAGGTCAGTACAATGAAGGGTGAAACCACTATGAGACCTTATGTGGGGTCAAATACCCAGCTCTTTCCACCATTTGCCTTCTTATTTCCAAGCTCTAGAAAACTATGGCAAAGACGATTAAGAATCTACACAGTACCTGCCACTCTAACAGCATAAGTACATATTGTTTGGAAGTAAAGGCATACAGAGTTTCCTTTAATGTATACACTCAATCATTTTATTGGTTTAGCAATGGCAGCTCTACAAGTAAGCGGTGTGTTCTCACATTAATTATTTCTCTGCATATTAATGTCCCAAGTTCAAAATAGCCCAACATTTGCTACTGTGTTAAACACCAATTGGATCCACATATGTCCCAGTGAGAACACAGACCCTGAGTCCTTACCATCCAGTCACTCCTCCCATCATGAGCTGAGTGGCCACGGAGTACTTCTCAGCAATGGGGCCGGAATTGTTCCCAAACACTCTACTCCACCACTGGTGCCTCCGGGCATACTCAGTCAGGTCCACAACCTCATAAACCTCATCTTCGCTCTCTGGGTCGTCCTGGCCCGCTATGAAATTGGAGTGAAATACAAAGTTAAAGGGCTACAATGTTCATATGCTACACCTCGCTTACATTCGGGGTGTATTTTCTAACAGCTCAGGAACTGTTTGCACCCTGTGTGGTCCTATTAACAAAGCTTAATCTTCAAGTCCTCCTAACTGCAAAAGCACTCCAGCCT